AAATTTAAATTATACATTTTTTTTCATTTGCATGAACAGAAACATGACTACCGACTGCGGTTAGCGTTACCAGACTATATATAATATAGTACAGCTCTCTCTAGTTATATTTTACATGATTCTGAACACTATAGGGTGACAATCCCTAACCTACATAACTGACACACATAAGTATTTACTACAAGTATCTATTTGCCTATCGCTTATATTATTATTTATTTATATGCTTTTGTATATTCACTTTTTATATAGATAAAGATAGTTATATAAAATCTTTACCAGAGGGAGACTGTACAAAAGGCGTTTGCTTGGGTACCTCTGTCCCATTCGTATTTCAACCGTAATGCAGATGTCTTTGCATGGCTGTGTTTCGGTTTGAAGGGTGGGATATGGCGTGAATTTACAGGGTACAGAGGAATAACATCTGAGTCCTCAGGAATGGCAATGCATGGGGGGTATCATGGGTGAAACAGTATACTCTGTTATGTCCATGGTACTGCTCATGTCTATAGGTGACGGTTACCACTTTCCATCAGATAGGCCGTCAGCTTCTTTGCCATCCTAAGTTGTATAAAGAAAAGATCTTTTTGTTTGAGCTTCGAAAGCATGAACGGTCTGCGCCATTCTGGTATCATTTATGAATTGTGTATAAAGAGGTTTCAAATTGTCTTCTATGATAATATTATGGTATACATATTTAAATAAATAAATAAAAATAACATATAAAAAAACATGAGATTCATTTGTATTAATACAGAATAGGTATTATAAGATAGAATACACAGATAGATCTGTTGTTGTTGTTGTAAGACTATTTATGGATGGCCCTTCATGGGGAATAGTAATTATAAAGTTCTTCGTCAAATTTGCAGTAGCGAGTTGACTAACTACGGAAGTAATTTGAAATGTATATTAATTTTGCTTTAGGTTCGTAAACATGTTCTGGTGTGAAAAGGGACTACCTTAATAATCCTTCTTGTGTTAATGCAATATTCATGTCTCTAGATAATTTATATTTCAGAATATCTGGTGTGAACTTTACATTGTTTCAATTAAATTTATAACGATCTAATACAAAGATAGTATAAAAGGCATTGTTCTTTAAAGAATGTTCAAATGTTTAGGGTAAGAAAATGTAATACATACTTAAAGTATCTAGTAATGTCCTTACAGTAATCACGTATACCTAAATCAGCACGTATTACGTGATCACTTCGAGGATTGAACAATAAAACTTCTATCTCCACTAAAAAATTTAGTGTCTTTTTACTGTCACTCCGACTATATGAAAGCTATGACTATCTTTGTTGGCTACCGCTTATTTAACCTAAATGTAAGTAGGTAGGTACCTTACTTCCTATTAATATTATTGATTTGAATGTTAACAAAGATATTTGAATCTACAAACATCCAAATATCTTGATATATGAGCATGAGTAGTATAAATATGAGTAATGTACCAAATTATGCTGAAACGTCTAAACGGATTTGAAAGAAAATAGGTATGCGGGTCGGTTATATCTTAACTTGATACATATGTTGGAATTAATTTATGTCAATACTGGTTTAGAGCCATTGCACTGAACTAATTGATGAACTTTGACTAAGTACTTCTTGGATCAAAACATAGACTTAATAAATAGAACGAAATGGACAATTATCGCAACCGTAAATTTTACAAAGGTCGCAAGTGTCAGCTGTATAGGTCTTTAATGAAATGAAATAGAAATAATAATTGTTTGTAAGTATGATGTATGTACGTAGACATTATTTCTATATAAATATCTTACTAGGTTATTTAACTTTATTCTTTAATAACGCCATAATGATATCTAGTTTTTGAAGTTACGAGTAATAACAGAATAGAGTAATTAAAAGTATAGATAAAACCTTTTTTTACGTCTGAATATAAACTATTTTTGTATGCTGCAGGTTTTATTTGAAAGGTCAGCCTTCAAAAGTGGAATGTTAACTAATGTGCATATATGAAAAGTTGTGATAAAAGGAAGTATGTATGTAATTATTTATGTCTACTTTTTGTTATGTCTTTATATTTATTTAAATTACTACACCAAAACTAAGAGAACTCGTCGCCACATGTCGTCGCCCAATCTAATACGAATGAAAAATAAAGATATATGTGTTCAGTAGGTAGCTCAACTTATGGAAACTCTTATGGGTCAGGGTACGTCTATATTTGTTCACTATTAATTGCAAATCACATTTAAACCTTCGATTTGATTTAAAAACTGTCACACTAAGTATTTGGCATGAATTCAAATCCATATCTAATAGTCCATACAAAATGATGTATGATGTTATTAAAAAAAATCACATATAAATAAAGTTGCATACAAAATATTTCAATATTTTGACTTCGTATATTCTTTTTGAATTTTTTATCTATCATGATAGTAATCCGTGCCAAAACTATGTGTAGGAGATATGCGAAGTTAAATAGAGGGAACGCTTGCCAAATGTATTAAAAGAAAGATCATTCAATGATGACAAATTTTATATACAGTAAAATATTTAACCTCTTGACATCAACCGATAGAATTCCAATCCGCATTTTTCAACTGTTCAGGTTATGATTATTTCCATTTAGGGAGTTATACCACGGAAAATATCTTTTAGGTGTTTCGTGATGGTTTTCAACCTAATATCTATTTCTAAATGCGTATGGATTTATTTTCATTTATTAACTCATAATATGGATTTTTTATAGTATTAAAAAATAGGGAAACATGTATTTATTATTATTAGAGTATGTTTGTATAAGCACAAAATTTAAAATATACTAGTCTGAGCCTGTCCTGTAGAAAACAGGATTCGTATTACCATATATTACAGAAACTAACATAGGCTTACAAAAAGTAACAGGCTTTCTAGTAGTACAGATAATTGTTTATCTACTGATTTTTATGTATATTTGGTACGTATTAGCTGTTTACCACAGTTTTGCCCGAGCGGAACCTTTGACATACGAGTATACCTGTTAATCCCGACCGATTTATCAACATTAACCCACATCCTAATACGCTACGGTTAGGAGTTAAATATTAGACGAGAAAGGTTAATATAATATAAAACATTAAGCTAACCAGCCAATTATGTAAGAAATCTTGCGCTGACGTCACTTGACTGATTCAACCTGTTCAACTATTCAGAGTCATTTAGATTTTATGTCATTTCATCCTTAATCAAACAAGAGACGGTGGGATAGGTACGTTCCATTTTTAAATGTAATATGCTAATAAAAGTCTCAACGGTTGCATATTTTGTCCCTCATCATTCTGACATGGATGCGGGAATACGTATTTTAATGCTGTCTACTAGGGTCTGTTGTCACTCGTAATTGGATGCCCTATATTCATTTCTAGGTTTCAAATCACCCTAAAAAAAGTTTAGCAGGCGCTTAGTTGTAAAACTTCACAAACAGACACATTTATATTTCATAAACAAGATTTTATATTTCATGAAAAAATAACTCGAAATATACCTGTTTTATTTATTTATTATACTTAGTCTATATAAAGTTGTATAATAGCTTAAAATTACTAAAATATTTTGTATAAAATGTTATGCCAATAAATCAATTTAATATAGAAATCATACAATTAAATAATATCAAATATGATTTATTTTTATGTTCATTTTTTAACGATGTCTATATGTGTAATGGGAATTTTATAAATTTACTATGTTTGTCGTTTCCAACAATTATTTCAACTTTTATGTTGCTTAGTCCAAACGCAGATCCTTTGTGCAAAAATGTTTAGACAAGTAATAAAACCTTTGTCGTTGTTTTTGAGGTATTTTGAACATTAAAAAGGATTGACTTTTTGTAAAATATATTACGAAAGTCATGTACCTAAGATTAATTAACTAACATTAAGAGCCAGACGGTTCTACCCACTAGTTAGCTTATTTATTAGTTAGCTTATAAAATTAGAATCGTTTATAAGTAGAAAGTAAAAAAAATCAGAGCGCAGATACCTGAATACCTGAATAGACTAATCTGAAACAATTTAGAAAAATGTTGACAATAGAATCCGGGGCCATATTACGCGTAGCAACGAGCTTTCACGCGCTACGGTGTACCTACAATAGCTACATTGCGCTACGGTGATTCATGGAGTGGGTAAATAAATTTTAATAATCTATTGCATTATATATACATTACATAATAGACTTATGTATAAAAACAAATGACTAACATTATTTGTCGCGAGTTTTAGTATAACTCAGAAATGCTTTAGAGTACGTAAAAATTGTGAATAGGTAACAAATTTGCTATACTGTGTACCCTGAAGAACCTAATTATTTTTCAACTGTTTGTACTCTAATTGGATTAAGTAGTGCAACACAGTAATATACATAATATGTATGACGTAAAACATTTTACACAGAGCACTAGACCTATTTATTTGACCTAGTTTGCTGAAAACATGCGTCATATTTGGACGTATCCCAATTTTGGTAATTTTTTTTTTATGTAGAAAGCGCAAGCCTGGTACACCAGTGCTAAATGCTATAATACTTAAAAGCATTTTTAATTTTTAATAATTAAATATTTATCTTCTTATGAAATTGTTTTGTGGCCAACAAATATTTTCTATTCCATTCTATAATAAATACGTACGTAATTCTAATATGAAATTTTTACGAATGAAGTAGATACGAAAACTTTAACGGACGTTATTTATCTTATTAGAACGTAAAATAAATTAAAAGGTGATTATAAGTAGTTTTGTTTAGTTAATAGAATACTATAATTGTCATAAATATAATATATTTACATATAGGTATTATCATATTATAATAATTACAAGAAAGAACACAGATAAGTGTATAAATTAACTAGGTACATAGGTACCTAATAAAATGTGGTAAATTTGAAAATGACATTAAAATATGTAAACGGTTACAGACACTTATGTAAAACTAAACGTCAGTATAATCCAATACATATATGTAATAAAGAAATAAAATATTACCTTTGCCGCTCCCACCGCACTATCGATTGCTACCACCAGCGCCGTCCCAACGGTCACCGGCCTCCACCACTCGCCAAAGGAAGCAAAGCAAAACAAAACAAATGAACACAACACACTAGATCGTCCACACAATATTATACGCAGCCGGCGAAAATCGCATCGGATCACTTTTCGCCACAGTCAACTTTAGAGGCAAACTTGGAAACTAAAAAAGAAAAGCGAGAAGCTATAGTTCGAGTTTCCTAAGCAACACGGGACGGTAACGGGATGATTTTTAACGTTAGAATTGAGGTGCGCGTACCGCGGGAAACTTTTATTTCGTTTTACGTTTTTCCATTCCGTCGGCGCGTACGGAGCGAAAGTTTTCAGCGTCGCGTTAGAAGGCGAGTGTGCTTTTGTTACGCAATTCACTGCGGCGCGAGTCCGCCAGGGGGCAGCGCGCCTCCTAGTGGCGCAGTGGCGGGCATGCGCACTGACACTCGCCGCGCTGCCGTGCCCGATCACCGTGCACCTTCAATAAATCTTTTGTTTCTTTACCAGTCTATACGGTCATCTAGAACTAGATATATGGCATTGCAGGTACATAATGCACTGCCCAACTTCGTTGCGTATCATTAGGATGCGTTATTCCATAAAAAATAGATTTATTTCGTGAAATTCATAATAATTTTGTGACTGCTATGAAAAAAACTACGTAAGTCAATAAGTAATAAAATACCGCGGAGGTCAGGGCGCCAAGACATCGCGTGAAACAGCGATAATAGCAAACAGCAGGCGAGCCCAATCTCTTCAACTTACTTTACAAATAATCTAACAAATAAACGTTAATTATTTTCATTCCTAGCCCTTGTTTTTATAATGGTAAAATAGTTACAAGAGTTTCGTAATCAGAGGTAGGTTTCTTTTTGTTATCTCTATCTCGTTGTATAGTCATTGTGTAGAGAAAATTATGACAAAACTTGTAACTCGCGACATTCCTCACGTGAATTAAGATAAGGAGTAGATACCTATTCTATGAGTTTTTCTAGTATATATTCTATATATATATTCTAATTATATTCTATAGTCCATTTATTTATAAGCATTAAAATGGGTTCAACGTTATATACAATAAATTTAATCACGATTCAAAATTAAATTTACTTTGGCCGATTTTAAATCCATTATTTTATATGATCACTAAGCTAATTGCAGTAATTAATTCCCACTGTATGATATCTTTGTTCATACTTTCAAACATAAGTATATTTATGAATATATATATTTAGCGCCACTACATTAAATAAAGCGTGGAGGAGGAGGGAGAAATTGAAGATTCACTCGACCTTCGCTTAAGTTGTCTCTGAACTTCGTTGGGGTTTTTTTACAACACGAAGGTGGTAAACAAGCATACATACATACAGCGCTGATTACTATGTTATTATACGAACAGGTAAGCTATTTTGTAAGGCTTACTAAACTGTTATGAAAGTTAGTTATGTGAAAGAGAAAAAACTACCTGAACTATTTACACTCAATGTTTAAACTTTGCAGGATTTAAAGTTGATTAGTATCTAAGTATCATATTCAAGTAAATTGAATAAAGATATCGTTTGAAGAAATCATATAATAATTAACTTTATCTACACCTTCGATTTAATTTTTGATAGTAGATAATGGGTATGGTAACAACATACGGTACAGTTCTTGAGGGATGAAACAAAATAGAGAGCAACTATATAAAATGTGTTATAGCGAGTCAATGATGACATGACCATTCCTTATATGTATGAGACTTAGGTCCAGCATGGTGTCCTGTGATGGCTAAAATGAATTATTGTATTAAAGTGATTTAATTTTATTATATTTTCAAATCGGTTGAGTAGTTTTTGAGTTTATTTAAACAATTATAAAAAAAAATATTTTCTCTTTGTAATATTGATAATAATAATAATTTAACCGGATCAATCAATGATAATATAATCAAATGGTTAGATTGCCTATAGATATCTAAGATATGTAATTTAAATTGACAAATGCTATGGATAATTTTTCAATTAGGTGTAGTTACGTCTAGTTCATTCGTTATAATTTTAAAATAGGAACTCAGTTTTTCCAGTGAACAGGGAAATTAAATCATTAGAATATAATTTATTCATGTTTTTTACCATAGTGGCCAAGTCTGCACTTTTGGAGTAGATATACAATTACAACAATTGTACTAGACTATAAGTTAAACTTATAAGTAGGTTATTTAAATATAGAATATTTACTTTCTTGTGAGATGCTAGGTGAATGATAAAACAGCTCGGTTGGTTCATTGTCGTGGATTCGACAAGAATTAACTACGAAGTTTTCCAGAGAGGACCGCGTGCAGTTCGAGAGATTCCATTACTAATAATCTCTTTCCCTCTTCATGTCTATCTCCCTCTATAGTATCTACAATTATGCGTTATCACTTTATGTTATAGTTTAAAACCTACCGTAAATTCCAAATGGCAGGGACAGATCTGTTAGATAATGCTCAGCTCGCAGCTGAGCACCCGGGTATCCCAGTCAAAACCTCTTAATTTTTCATATTTATGTCTGGATCACTTACAAATTACTTCACATTTTGTGCGTTGGAGGGTAGATGGACGCCGGAAGCCGTCATCTGGTCAGCCTGTCAGAGGCCTTTGTGTACAATAATGGAGGGATGAAATTTTAATACCAGAGGGCCTTTTCTACACTTGTAGTAGTATCTACTATAACTTGGAGTAACAACGATCAATGTTATATAAGTGTTGAGTAACCTATATAAACGCTGTGCTTAATTTACAAACTATGTATTACCAAAATACTGATAGCACTATTTAATTTTTAAAGTACCGTGTAGTTAGTAATTTCGTAATAGGTATCGATGGCCGTAACAAACAAGCGGTTTCCGATTTGCGTTTAGAATAACAACTGTGAGAATTGAAACAAATGTTTAACTTACCTATCTATAGGTACTCATTAAAGACTAATTAAAAAAAAGTACCGAATCACTAGAAAAGTTTGTATTAAATATACCTTCTTGGCGACAGTTTCGTATTGCTATCGTCAAGCAATTTATAGTGCAGTATTTACAGTACTTAGTTCCAAGGAATGGCGACGTATAAGAAATAGATATTTTTCAGCATCACAGTTCAGGAATTATTATGTCCCTGGTCACAGTGTTATTCCTATCTATTGTTTTGTGTAAATATGTGCAAATAATATGTAACGATGGTTATCGTACGGTTTTTAAATGGATTCACAGCAAATTAGTTAAAATTGAATAAATAAATATAAAAATTAAAATTTGTGATAGAAGCTATGTCGAGAACTGTTTTAATTTAACAAGTAAAATATTCATAACTTTAACCCTTAATACACAATATGCCTAAATTGCGCTGAACACAAATTTTATGTAGCAGCTAGATGAACCTACTATGATTCGAATTATAAATTTAACTGTCTAGTAAGTAGTAACTAGTCTGTTAACGGTATTTCTCATCACTTAAGTTAGTAGGGAGTGAAATTGGCGCAAAATACAAAACGATTCTTTGGTTTAAAAGTCGGATAGAATAGGATAGGTGTCACTAAATGACACCGTGTTCTAAGATATTAGTAAATATACCTTTATGTTATAAAAAAAAAAATAGTAAGTTTTTTTTTTTTTTATACAACTTAGAATGGCAAACAAGCTGACGGCCCATCTGATGGAAAGTGGTAACCGTCGCCTATAAACAAGTTTGTACAATAATTTTTTTACAAAAAAAAATACCTAGTTAGTCCTATTTATACCCAAATAAGTAAGTTCGTTATGAAGAATTAACTAAACTGATTCACGTTCATTTGTTATCCCTCAATAGTAGCTACTTCGTGTAACCACCAGTCATTTTCATCTATACTTATAATAAATCTGTAGAGAGGTCAATCGATACTGATGCCAAAAATGCAATCAGTAAAATTTTTGTCTGTCTGTATGTTCGTTATAGAAACAAAAACTACTCGACGGATTTTAACGAAACTTGGTACAATTATTCTTCATACTCCTGGGCAGGTTATAGTATACTTTTCATCACGCTACGATCAATAGGAGCAGAGCAGTGAAGGGAATTGTCGCGTGCGCAGCCTTAAAGGCCACTTTTTAAAATGTAAAAATGTCCACCCCTGCGAAGGCGGGACGGGCCGCTAGTTTGTTAAATAACTTACCCAATGGAAAACACGTATCTAATAAAAAAGATTAGTAAGTCGCGTCCTTCAATAATTAAAGTCACGTTTTATTTACACACTTTATTGAAGTAACATAATGAAAACAAACATTAATTATATAGAAATGAACTTCAATGACAGTATACTGTAACCGTAAATACAACATTTATAATTCATTAACATTAATCAATTCAATTCACAAAATTAGATATGTTGACAATTACAGTGATATTTTGAAAGATATGAACAGTGAAACATGTATTTATCATAATCGGAAACGTAAGATATTCCTTTTGTTTTTGGTTTATACAAGCATGTGTCACATTTCATGGATGATCCAAATTACTTTGCCTATATAGACGATAAATTAAGTACTTAAAAACGATATTCTATATGTAAGTATAGCTTTATTAGGGTCAATGTAAACTGACAAACTAGAGAAACAAAGAGCCGCCGACGTGGCGGCGAAAGTGACGCCTTGTCTTTTGCCGCCACGTCGTTACGTAATTCCAAGTATTGTTTATGTAACTTTCATCGGTTGTATAGCCTAAAGTCAACTTTAGTGACAATGAATCATGTTGTTCACTACACCATCAGTTTGCATTGACCGTTAAATTAAATCTGTGCTATCTGAGGATAATTCAAGCGCACATGCTTATATTAATCGCGTTCAAAAACATATAGTTTTTATGAAATTGAATTAAACTATTCATGAAGCATTTTTTTCACGATTAAACTATTCTGATGATATAACATACAAATTATGTATTAAAAAAACTTAATTAAAAATGCTCAATTGCCTTTGCGGGGCGGTTCAAATAATTTGAGCATTTTCAAATATGGCAACAATAAATGAAAACTAACAATGTTGTTGACTTTTTAGCATGAGTATATTCATAAAATTGAATAAAAAATTAAATGCTCATTGAAATTGCAGCAGTGAAATAAGATTTTGCCTTTTTGATATTTAAATTCTTATCTATACTCAGTCAATAATTACTATTAATATTAACACTAGATGATTACTGAAAACAGAGTAAGATGGCATAGCCTACATTAAATATATGCGACGGAAAATAGAAGACAAATATTAGCCAATGTATTAAAAATTATAAAGTAACCGGCACCCTCGTTTACACTGTAGAGTAGACTATGCCTTAACGTGATATGATGTTCATATTCGAACATAAATAGAATAATAATTATATTTATATTATATATTATAACACATGCATTTTATTGTACTGTTACTGAACTTTAAGCATTTGAAATACACTGTTTTGAACTATACATAGGTACGAATCGTGTAAAGTGAACATAATTATGAGTTACATATTTACCCTGGTATTACTACAGTTTAATAAGACGTTCATCTTGTAGATATAATTACTTTGTGTAGTTATTAGGATCGAAGCGAAGAATATAATGAATATTGTATATGCATAACAAATTACACAACCCTTTTTACCCAATCGTCTCAAACCTGTATGTGGATATATACATTTTTAATTACGTGGATAGCAAAATATTTGCATAATATATGACATACTTATATTTTCATGAGTAAAACCCACTAGAAATGGGGCCACATATTTTATAAAACATCTTTCGAAATACGAGTAAGTAGGTACCTTTACACGATGTTAATTTGAACATATCTTATTAGCCACACAATTCAACATTAGGGATTTTCGAAAATGGTGCACTAAGTATCTATCTCAAATTCAGGTGCTAACACGAAAAATTCTAAAAAAAATTCACTATTACATTTATTCATATTTGCTAAAATTGAATTTAATTACACTATTATACAACGCAGTCTGACCCTGTCAATAAAGGCTAATATAAATTCATAACGCGTCACTAAAAATCATTACTCCTCTGTTATAATCAAATCAAGAGTAACGTGAGAACAAAAGGCACCTTTTACTTGTGTCAAAATACTCTACAGTTAGTAGGTACATATATACCGGTAAACATATATTTTAATGCGAAAAATATTAAATAACAATGAGAAATAAAACTGATAGCGTCATTTGTTATTTCAAAGAGTAACACTGTAATTTTATGAATTTAATAACAGTTTGTCACTTGAGATAAATAACTAATTACATAATAATTTTATTAAATTAAAATATAGATTTTTTTTTAATTCTGGTCTGTTGAAAATATCACTTGCGACCAGAATAAGTACCAGGTTTTGGTCATTAAAAACAAATTGTTAACTACAATTTTTAAGCAGTATCTGCTTTGTTTTAATTAATTATGGGATATATTTCAAACATATCCACTAGACAAGGATATTTATTTTCTGATCAATTAATACGTATTTGTAGGTACGAATTTAATAAATATATTTTTTTAGTAAGCAAAGGTATTTAAAAATCGTCTTAAATTATGTATAAATATAGAAGTTCAGTGATAATTCAAAGATTAAAGTGAGATTCAATTGGCTCACTAGTTAGGGGCCGTTATAAAATAGTAGTTACAGTCAGATCGTTTGACGTTTTACTAATTGATATAAGAATGAGTGTAAATCAAGCTAAAAAATCATATAAATTATTATTGATAACGAAATATCTTTAATAATTATTTGACGCATTTTTTTAAACAGATCGTAACTGTTTCTTTAAACAAAGTTTGCAATATATAATACTCGAGAACTTTTCTTTTTATTAACCGTTTTAGTGTTAAGTTATTTATAGCACTCGTAATTTGAGTGATCCACTGCTAACATACATGTGTCGATTTTGCTGCCCAGACTGTGATTAAAGTTTAAATAAGTATATTATAGTAACATGTGTATATTTTACATATTGGTGAATGTTCATGTGCACTATAAACACACATTAATATTTTTAATATTTCACATCGCAACCACAGTCTGTTTTTTTTTTTCTTTTTTTGCTGAAGATGTGAATACCTTTTTGGACTGCGAACGTGAGTGTAAAATACAAGAAAAATATGAAGACAGTCACTAATACATTCTAAGATTTAATAAGACTTATACAGACCAACAAAACAAAGTAAATAATATTTCGAAGCCTAGCTTATGTAAACATTGAGAAAATTGAGCAAATCAAAATAACAGTAACAATAATGAACCACAATATAATTCTATTCTAAGTATAATAAAGATTATGTTAATGATTGCTGTGATTATTATAATTGAACATAATACCTACACATGAAATTAATATGTATATATATTTACTATAGTATATAAAATTGCATTGTACTAAATATATAATGTAATGACAACACCAATGAACTAATACTTCTCAGATAAAGTACTTGCGTTACAATTGCCTTCGCCGCACGCAATACAAAATATAACTTTGTTCTTTCACTCGCTACTCGTACTTATAGCGCGCACTTCCCCGCTTTTGGCTCATAATTATCTAACAAGCGTGCACTATAACCACTACCTGCGTATCTACGCCGTAATCAATTTATAGCATCTACCTGACGTAGCAGTTCGCACAAAAGTGCTCCTCCAACTTTAATCACAGCTATGAAATCTCTTCTCTTTAGTTAACTTCTACATTTTCAAATTTATCTCTTTATAGATATTTGTAGAGACTAATTTTATTTATACCTGTGTGGTACTTAATTTACAAAGCTCTATACATTGTCTTAATTGCAATTTATTAGACTATAAATAATTGATTTTATCAAAATTTTATTGCTAATTTACTTTAAGCGAGACCACACAAAAATATTTAAAACTTTTACACATACAAACGAAAATAAATAATCTTTGTCATTTTTGTACAAACATAAAAATACCGATTGAAATTAAAATTTTGACTAGCATATAATTATATAAAATTTAATTATTTTGTCTTTATTTTCAGAACAATTTGACTAGCATACGTCAACAATGTCGACAACATATTATAACCATAAACGTTTTCATGCTGCCTCGCACAAATTCATGCATAAATTTAGACACAACTTTGGCACAATCATTCATTAATTATTTTTAAATTTATTGAAATACTGAAGGGGAAGACTTGGGGAAAATATGTAAAAGGATATGTTTAGAGACTATTTTGTCATTATATTTCTAATTGTGAGTCTTATACCTAGGGTGCAAATTAACCATCAATCAGTGGATTAAAGATATTATGTTCTGTATTTGCTATTAACTTGACACATTATTATTAATCAAGAATATTTGTTTTTAATTTTACACTGCATAAAATATTATGCTTCATATAACGAAAGTTACTTTGGCACTGTGATTTTGTTCGTGTCGTGGCACCTAGTTGTTTCATGCAAATTACGTGAAATGGAAAGCATTTAATACAGTGGTCCTATAGTTATCTTATTCTACTTTAACCTAGATTTTTTTTAAGTTTTTTGGAAATATGTCGATTACCACAGGACTATCTATATTTTTGTTCTAAGACTAAGTATAATGAGCAGTCCGGAGAGGGTGATAAATTAATTTAAATTAACCTGTTCTACTTTATATCACTAAACATTAACTACATCTCAGAATAATTTAGCATAAATCCACAACATTATTAATGTTAAACAAACTTCAACAATCTTTGGCTTTGATCCCTAGACCAATATTAATTATTCGACATAAAATTTCCAGTAGCCGATGTACACACTGTGTATATGTTAGAGATCTTAATAGTTCCATGTAAAATAAATTAGAAGACTATCACATTTAGCAACACTATTTTTTTATACATCTAACGTCTTTTTTTTGTGATTATAGACGATTTAAATGAAATGTCATCTCGCCTCTGTCTCCTCTTTTAATGTAAGATTCTTAAAGGATTTGATCCCATCGGTTTCGTATCGCCGCGCCGCGTCATAGCGATGCAACTATTACTGTAACACCTATTTTTCCAGGTTATTACGATTATTTTATTTACAAATATTGTCTTTAACCCTCTCACTCTGTTCTCTAATCTAACACTACGCTACGTCAGCGGGTCCGAGGTCGATTGTAACGCGTCTAAAATCTACTGTACGCCGACTCTCGATTAAACATATTTTGAACATTTTATTTATTTGTGGTCAGTACTGATCATAACGGAAAATAAGTCCAATAGATTAAATTGAATAACTCGACCGCTTAAATCCATAGTAAATTCGATCAGCTTAGCTAACTCCTGTTCCTGTTATAAGTTACATTTATAACCCGTGAACGGTGAACGAAGACAAAATATAAATATTTGATCGATCGCTATTTAAAATAAACGTTTTGTGTAATCGGCGGCCGTTCACCGCTCACCGATTGAGAGACTATTTTAAAATGTCAGTCATTTTGAATTTCCATCATTACAATATCCGCGATACTTCATTTAATATCCGTCATATTCTCTCGATTAAACTATTACACCGCCGATACATCCTATACCAATCAATTAAATACAGTGGAGGATAAATATAAGAATATCTAAAATACTTATAAACTCGTAACAAATGTAAACATACGTTCAGCACGATATCTAATGATTTGCCAATTGCTTCCCATCTCGTTGAGATTGTTTTGGTCTCGATATTCACTTGAAGAAATATATCGGAGCCAGAGTCCCGTATTGCGGCTGCATGAAGAAGGCGCGATCAGTGTTATACATTTTGTACGCAACACTGGAGTTCTGGCCGCGGAGCCCCATTCAATGGATCGGTGCCTTCACGATGTGGTTCGGAGCGATGTAGTGATAGCCCGGCAGCTGGAGTCCGGCCGTCTCCATAGTGATCCTGCAACATTTGACACTTGCTTCCATTACCCGTGACACAGTTTCGTTCTAGTACAAACTAAGATTTAGGTTTCATTCTCACAACCTTACAGAATGTATTGAACATAAAAAAAATATTATGTTACCTTATGGATTGTATGGAAATGGAGTAATGAGGAAATAATTGTAGGTGAACGTAATTAAATGTTTAATATATTTAATGTGATGTGAATCACAGTGAGCCCTGTGGACAACTAGGATAAAAATTAAAATGTAAAGGAAACATCTTACCAGGATATTGGATGATCCAGTGAGCTGTAGGATGTAGGTACTCGATTGACCAAAGTTCAGCGTTTCAGGTAACACGGGAATATATATTGGTGCCTGGGTAGACAGGATAATGGCGTGGGTTCTTGAGTAGGAGGCGTTATGTTTCGGACCATTTTATTTTACGATATTAACCTGCACTTAACGTTTATACACAAGAGAAACATATTAGTATTTTTTCATTGGTATAATGAAAAACATTCTATATTATTATTATTTTATTATGCACTTTAAAACAATACACTTTTACTTAATGATTCTAGCGAGTAATATAATTCCTGAAATGATACGAAAATGTCTATTTATCTTAAAATTAACATGATTTTTTTTTACAAATAAATGACAATTGGCAGCCAAATAATACCTACGTATTATGTTCCCGATGGAACTACAAGTAAGAAACGTATTGGACCTCGATTTTCAAATTCGCATTAATCTATTTTTTTTTATGTACAGGCAAATTATTGTAATAGAAGTCTAACCCCAGAAAAAAGTCAAATAGCACAATACGTATCTATTTTTTTATCGTCTAAAAATAGAGAAGAATGTCGAAGAATAAATTATTTAGATGATGCTAGAGTAAAAATAAAACCTATACTTGTTTAGAATAACCTATCAATTACATCATAGGACAGATCTACATACTATTCATCAAGCCTGCAGTTCAGGGGTATATAGACCGGTAAGTCAACTATGTCGCTATATTCTAATACAATAATTTTGCCTTTACATCATCAATATGCCTTATAAAATTTTAAACTAATTCTACCGTGAATCCTATGAATGACAAATATTCATACAGAGTGATACATTTTAGAGAACATGAAAGCGATTTTTAAATTAGATCACAGTTTAAATCCTTCAGTTAAAATTTTCAGACAATTATATTTTGGATAGAAACCATGTTTCTCCATAACGTTTGATTTATATTTTACGTATATTAAATATTATGAATAAATTACAAATAAAATGTATTACTGGTCCTAAATAAGTACATCAAAAACAGTTACGTCAATCGTGACAAATTATACGAGATCACTGGAATAAACCATATTAAATTGCAAAGGAATGATCAAAATCGGTTCAGAATTGGCGGGGACATTGTGTAAAAAATATCGTCGAATTGAGAATTTTCCTCCATTTTGAAGTTTCTTAAAAATAATATTTGTCGAAATATTCTAATCAAATAATCGATCTCATGTCTCTCAAACATTGTCAATGTTATAAAATTTGAAACATTGCAAAAAGACTAATTCTTAAAATTGCTAGAACGAAACAAAATATTGGTTAAAGTAACCACTACATTTACACTTACACTTACCACAATATAAGTCTGTGACATTACAATCTAATTTAATATTTCATTTAAAAATTTATATACAGAGTCGTCAATGGTCATCAAACAATACTTCATCAAATACTTTGATTTTTTCCCGAATTAAAGGAATATAATTATAAAAATATAGAATTTTATAATTATATTATGCCAACGTAAATGAAATAGATACAATTGAAGATTTTGTTAAACAAGAGCTACTTTAATAAAAAAAAAAAATTATGGGCCAATATAGAAGTAAATTATATAGATTGTAAAATAATTATTAGACTGTTTGGAATCGGCGACGACGTCATGTTATTACAATTAAAAATCATCGTATTGAAGTCTTTTTTTTTTAAAATAAACAATGAAGATGACAATAAAAATCTACATAGTAAAAAATAAAAGAAATATTACTGTATATATGTATACAGAAAGGACGCTGCAAAACAGTTCATAAGTAACAGTCTTCATATATCTACACATACAAGTTAGTCGTAAAGGGTATTAGCCTTTCAGACATGTTGAAACCCAGTGGCAGTATAAAAAAAAATTAATAATTTGCCCTTAAAAGATTATACAAAATAAAAGATAAAATTTATATCTCGCACTAAATCGGTATAATAACTGGACTTGGAATTTCGAAAATTATTGTTCTGAGATTTCGAATTTGTTCCTTGGAGAAAGTTGTTCAGTTTTATAAATACTATCACAGAGTTTCGGCTTAGTATACACTTTATAACTAACCTTGTATATTGATAACTAATGCCTTGAAGTACAGCTTGATGTTTTCTTTAGACACCCTGTATTTCAATTTTAACAGACACATAAATGTACCGATCATGAAAGTTTATTTATAACAATAACTATAAAAAAATGAAGTACATACATAAGTGCACTTCATTTTGTATTCTTTCAAAACTGACTTGGCACAGGCATGCCATTATGGTAGATTGAAGAAATGGGCATTGAATAAAATCGCTTATACCAACGGTCGCAAGGGCCGGCCAACCAACGGCCTGAGGTTTCTTTTGTAAATGGAAATTTTTATTTTATTGATTACACCTTCTTACTTGTCTTCTTTGAAATTCCGGTGTAAGCTTATTATTTTTCCTCATTTTTCAAACACGTTTTCGCATTTTTATGTGTATGTTTACGCATACACAAATATAGGGATCGGTTATCCAATTTATGGACAAGTGCAGTCCGCCTTTAATTCACTTTGCCACTAAGTAGCCCTTGCCTGCCAACAGGTTGCCAACTATTGTTTGTTATAACTTTTCGCGACTATATCGTGGACGTACGTGCACGGAAGTGTTTTTATTTTACAGATTAATTTATCATTAGATTGTTTTACTATGGGCATTGCTTGTTCGTTGTGATTCAAATAAGTCATAATAAGTACCACACAATCAAACCAATTACCTGGTTCTCAAGCCTAGGATATCGTGTTATGAAAAACTAGGCTACTACTAGGAATATGTGGGGGTGCTGTCTAAAACTGCCAAGAAATATATTTTATATTTGCAGTAACATTATAAAACTCTATGATCGGTAAATTTATATGTATTCTAAACGCGAAGCTCTCTGTATATACTACAGCGTTTAAGCTTCTACGTATCTCCTACTATTGTCACGATCCCTAGTTATTAGTCGTATTTATTTTACAATTTAGTCGTCTTTAGTCATCACATAACAAATGTTTTGTTCAATTTAAATTTTTATTAAACGTACTAACAATTTTGTCGTACAAATTTTGTAAATGTCTTTATATTTATGATTATTTTTTTATTAGAATTAAATAAATAAAATTACTTAAGTATTATTATTCTTTTTTATATGTTTATAATGGAAAAACAAAGTGTTGTTTAGCCAAGAGTGACTTTTGGTGGTATCACTTTTTGTCATGTTTCACAGAAAAGATTTAATTTTCTTTTAGCATCAGTATTATTTTAAAGTAATCATATTTTTTCAAATAACATGATTTTTCCTAGAAAAGTAAATTGCAAGTAAACATTACTCCATCGCTCGATTATAATAAAGCACATTATTTTAAAATGTTGAATCGACAAAATTATTATGTACGATTAGATTTCATTTATCTTTGTTAGTAAAATAAATTTGTATAAATATTTATAGAAATAACCAGAATATTTAAGAAAAAAAAAAATCAACAAAACAATATTGCTGTTGAACTTTCCAGTTAACGTACATAATGAATATACTTGTACATTATGAAACGAAACTATCCCAAAATATAAAATGATTGCTTTAAAAATTAATATTAATAATGTATTAAATCTTTTGATAATTTTAATAGGTATACTAGAATAATCATTAACGTAACCTTGAATCAAATGAGTAGCTAACTGAGGTCTTACATAAATATATTCTATGTAGATATATTATGCGACGTATATGATTTATATAGTTATGAATTACATTCACATAATCCAAGTCAACATTTCGTTAATGATTATAATCCCTGTACGTATACCTTGTGCGATGCTAATATTTAAATGCGATATTATGTATACCTATATCGTTAAATAATAATTGATACCGATCGGTACATGATTTTCGAAGCAACAAGAAAGTTACGAGATTATAAGTGATTTAATTCCAAGGTAGTCAAGAAATAATTTACTTTCACTTACTGAATTATAAAAAAATCTACGTCTTGATAGCCCGATCTCCTATTAACAAAATATACTATTGACCGAAACCCGAATGTGAAGTAAGCTCGGCGGTCGTTCAAGTTCTTTGGAAAAGTTCAGTCCAAATACGAGGTGCGCGCTCCGATCGCACGTAAAGTCGCTGTCCGAACGACCGGCGGGCGATCGCAACTGTTTAGTACGGGTTGTATTTGTTTCGTTCTTTGGACGTTTTGGTGGGTGTGTCGTCGTCCTGCCTGCGCTGGTTAAACGACTTATGGTTCCGGTGGACCCCGGTGGTCTGGACCGGTTGGGAGGCGTTGCCGCCGCTGAGCAGGTCGGACAGTCCGCCCAGTGCGGACAGGGAGTTGAGCGCGCCCAACGCCCCGGTCTTGCTGAGCAGCTGCGCGAGGGGGATGGCGGAGGCCAGAGGGCTGGCGGCTGAGGAACCTCCGGTGCCGCTCGATGTGCTACCCTCCAGATTCGCCTTCTGTAGCTCCACACTGCGGGAGCGGGACAGGAGTTGTAAAGGGTCAGGCGACACGTCGGGCCGATTCGAAGGGGATACGACATTCAGATTTGTTACGCGGAGCTCTACTAAGAACGTGGAATTGCTTTGAACAGATGTTATTATTGCTGACGGATACTTAATTATTATTGCTTAATCTTAGTTACGGAAAAAGCAAGTAATATATGTATAAGTATCGAATAGACCCTGCTCATCTTCAGCAGTGGGCATTGAAATGATGATTATGATCACCATCATAATATCTGCATATTATTATTTTTAGCGCTATAAATGCGTTTTATATTATTTTTACACAATGCTGTCAAAATTGTGAGATTTTTTTTGACAATTTCGATAAACATTAGAGAGCTAAATATAAACTAACGAACCAACTTCGAAACGACCCAATAAAAGGTGAAGATAAATCAGAGGATGATCGTGGGATTTCAAATAAATCGATTCTCATAGGTGGACTAGGCGTGATCATAAATGGGGCAAGAATAGGCAAGAAAATAATTCTCCGTCGGGCTTTCGGATGGAAGTGTTCGGAGAGGAACTTCAATTATTTTATTATAAGATTAATTGCACTTACCTCATATTGATAAGATATTGAGCGAGAGCAACAGAGTCGGGGTTGCCAGAGATTGTGATAGTTCGGTCGGTGCTTCCGCCTTCCCTCTCCTCGCAGTTAGATATCCGGATCATGGCGCCAGAGATCTGACGGATCTCAGCAATTTTTGTGCCTCCCTAATAGTACACATAACGTTAAGAGTAACAAAAAATATAATAGAAATAATAATAATAATAGTAGAAAAATATAATTATTGATAATGGTATTTCGTTTTTGTAAATCTGTTTCTGTTATTTAAGACTAACTACTTTTTCAGTATATATATATAGAATTTGGATAATATAAAAGGAAATCAGAACGTATCCTCAATGAAATATTGTATTTAACACTATTAATTAATCGTACTTTCGACTTTTTTATTGCCAAAAAGAATAGTTTTAAGTATTTGCGAGGTGACTTGGAACTATAACTGTAACTTGTGTAACTTGGAATAATAGAATGTACAATTCAATAAAAAATTAGTTACCTTGCCGATGATGCAACCGATGAGTTCGTTCGGCACGGTCATCTCGTGAGACTGTTGGTTGGAGGCAGGTTGGTTGCGCGCCTGATTGGAGCTGCGAAGCTGCGAGCCTGCCAGCGCAGCCAGGGCTGCTGACCATAGTAAAGACGTTTACAATCCACAACTTAGATATATATTATGATTAATTTAGGCATTTGTATTTAGTCCTATGACTGGCCAAATAATATGTGCATAATTTATCCATAAGATCGCATCTCTTTTATACCGATTGCGTGGCAGCAGTAACAGCATTCTGAGGGCATTGTGTAATAAATACGTTAGCCCGATCCTCTCATTGTGGGTCAAAATTATTATAGGGGCCATAAAATAAATTTTGTATTTTTTTTTTCTACTAACATAGTTTAAGTCAATTGTTACTAACAAGAATGGATCTTTGTAATCTATAAATAAAGAAATATTATTATTATTATTATTATAAGTAGTGCAGACATCATTATATTAGTCTTATGCTACTTACATAAAAAATCTTAATGTAAAAGTTTATATACATATTTGGACATTTGTTAATTAGTTATGCTTAAATATTCAAACAAATTTGAATATAATATGGTACATAGACGAATCACAATATGTTGAATTGGTACATAGTATATTTTACCCTAATTCATGCTGTCAAAATCGAGGGTTACAACTAGTTTTTTTTTTTCACAGTAACATAAATGAGAAAGTTTGAAAAGATTTGGATATTTGTTTCTCAATCATGTTTAAATGACTGAATTAAATTTAGTACGCATGTAGACCATATCGTGGTTTTTTATTTTACATTTAAATTATGTGAACAAACTAAGACAGCTATAATAAGGATTTAGTAAAGAAATCTTCATTTTATTGAAGAAAATTTAAAAATAATATAATGTAAGTAATTTTTTAGTAAGGGTATATTGGTGTAAAAAAATACCTGCAGGATTGAGTCCGCCAGTATTAGCTGGCCCCAGTCCACCGAGTCCTAATGCCGCTAAGCCAGCCAATGGGGATTTTGCTAGTCCTCCCATCTGAAATAAAAATACACTGCTAATACACTAAATTCAAAGTTTAAGACCACATCAGGTTATTATAGTCTGTAATGAAAATAGTTTTTACTTCAGGAATGTACATTTAGATTAATTTTACATATATTTGCAGATGTTAGTTTTAGCGCGGTCACGCTAGAAGTAACATCATGATCAAATATAACATAGCCAATCTATACGAAACAGAACACGATAATTGACAAATTTTGAGAATTTTATAAATAAATCATAGCTCCAGCTGCTTGTTTTCGTCTTCTCTGACATAGCCGGGATGGGATCGCTGGATAGGGTAACCTGGGTAGAAACTAGATTTTAGAAAGTAATTATTAGTGTTTCTTAGAAAATTCGCAATATTCCACAGTATGATTAATTTTAAAACATATAAATATACTCAAAGATATGACGTCACTTTTAACGCATTTACCTTAGTTGTATATGCATAAACGTACTTAGGAAATGCAATCCAGATATATACGTTCATGTTATATTTGCGAACTTTCTAAGTCATTACGAAAAAAAAATTCAATCCACATTGTGAGTTCTCGAGTGGTGCTGCCCATTTAAATATGCACCTTCTGTAATACAGGAGTAGGCAAATATTCACTGAACTCTAGTAAACTGTTCTCTTTTCACGTTAAGCCATGCGATTCCATGGTTAATTTGATATTAATCGAAAAATTAAAAAAAAAAAATTAAATTGTACACAAATTGTTGGAAAGAGACAAGGCAAAATAAGGAGAGGTGCAAATATGGGTGGTAATATACCTTTGGTACCGTCGTAGCTTGCGTGTACGGAAAATTTAGTAGAGTATGTCATTGAAAAGGCTTGTATCTCGGCAATGCCAGAAAACAAACAGATAAAGCTTCAATGTGTTTTGCTAATACACATTATGTCATATTACATTTATATGTGCTAAAATTAATACGAAATTCTAATGCTATGGATCAAAACATACGGATTATCATACTGGGGTTCCAACATACTATCGAAAGGGGACAGTACGTGCAAGTAATAAAGAATATTAAAGAATCTCAAGCCAGGGGTATAAAGAACAGCGCAAAATAAATATACTTCATTCCTACACTCCACATCACCGTTATCTAGGTCTATTTATTTACTACACAATGTTAATAGTTCATGTTTGCTACAGAAGGGATTCGACACCACACAACCAAACCATATTGATAGGATTCTGGGGCAGCACCAATCACATAACACCCTTATTTCACGCGACCTCATAGAGAAAAATTTAGATTTTTTACAACTGCGTATTCAATATCTAAGTACTTGTCCTAAGTAATAATTATACAGTCCATGTAGTAAATGTGAAAGATTAAAAAGACATTTGTTAGCCAATCATGATTAAAAGGTTTTGACGAAATTTGGTAGACCATATCCTTTGTGTTAAAAGGATACTTTATCATTCCTGACCATATTCTATCAAAACTTCTTAGATCAAATGTTGGAAAAATTCTGTTTGCGTTTATTAATGATATTTTAGATTCTTTTTTTCTCAATCAACGTTAATTATTTACAGGTTGTTTCTTTATAAAAAAAAATATTAGCGATTTTTTTATTTATTTTATCTACGGACCAAAATGAGTATTAACAAACATATTCCTTTGGAACAAACGTATCTATTAAGAAGATACAAAAACGACTATCTACTGAGATAAAAAGTAGAAAGAAACATGTTGGAAGTAGTACAAATGATAGAAATATACAGAGATGTATCGAGGGGGGCGAGCGGGGCCAGACAGGTGTCTCTATGAGGTCGGGTGTGAGCGGGTCGCGAGAGACTCACAAGGTGGTGTTCGTGCAGCGGCGGCGGCAGCAAATGGTGCGGCGGCAGTGCGCCCACCAGGGGCGGCTTCACCTCCAGCAGGGGGAATACGGGCGCGCACACCGCCTGCCAACGCGCCCCCACACATTATATCCCTAAGCCCGGCCCCGGTCACAGCGTTCGGCCATTTTAAAGTTAGTATCTTTTAGACTCCAAGAATTAAATGGCAATATATGACCATTTATTTTTCAATTATTATGTTAGTATAATTTATAATTTACCTATTTTGGAAGTACTGTGCTTGTTGTACAAACTTTTTGATAGCTTAATTAAAAATATTATAATACGAAATGTCATATTTTTTTAATGAAACTACTTAGAAACCTAAAATTTATCATCTATAGCGATCTATAACAATAAAACGACAGATACGCATATTTATCTAGGCGATTATGCAGAGCAGCCGTCATATACAAAGATTTCACGAAATACATATCAGATTGTACAAACTTTTAGCTCCCCTCGACTGCAGCACTTCACGTCACGGTGCATCACCACTTCGTGTATATTATGTTTGTATTATCTGTTTTATTATGCTTGACATAATTAATTTAATAAACCCGAAATGTCTTATCGAAATAATTAATAAAAAGAAGACATCAAAATTGTTAATTAAATAAAAAAAGTATGAAAAAAAAAATTCATTAAATTACCCTAAATGTAAACTAATAAGTCTTCCATTAGATGTAGTAGCGCTTCGCTATTGTTTCATATTGCGAAATACGTTATTTTAACGATATTTATTACGACATAGATATAGTTATAAACGGTTATTAAAAAAGAAACAGTTTTTACATACATCATAATATGTGTAAAGCTCGGTATAAAGCCTCTAGACGTTGTATGATTGGCGTGATAACATGGTGTATCTAATGCCGCGTGCAGACCGGTGCAATGTAACACGAAATGCATCATTCTGTCCTTCATTGCATGTTTGTTACAAACGTGGACTAATTGTAGTATCGCTACAAAGCCCTTCGTATATCTGTTCCCGTCTATCTACATCGAACACGACCCGTCATCATCAATATTCCTCACTCCACACGTTGTTAGTCTGACACATGTCATGTACGTTGCGTGCACAAGCGTTTTTCTGAATTAGCTATCTATACTAATGTCCCGTAAATTGCATGTGATACTATGTAGTCGCAAATATAAGAGTCCTAGTCTATAGGTATTTGCTACAAAGAGTGCTATCTTTAACGATACATTGCATTAATGTGGACGTAAAATTCTTTACATTTCATTTTACATTGCACTAAACTGTATCCGGCATAACACTATGTGAAATTGTCCTATAGTGACAATAATAGAAATATGCTATATTCAATGTTAAGGTTAAATCAAGAAGATTATATATTTTGTTATATGTCAGAACACGAAATTTAATGTATACAACACTAACGTACTTAAATAGTAACTTTAATAAAATTATCTAATCATGAAAGAGAACGGTTATGACAGTTGACGTTAGATTTACTTTTTTCAAGTTAGGATTGTCAATTTGTACTCCTACAAAAGTTAAACAATTTATAATTCTTTTTTTTATCTTTATTGTGTAATAGACAGAAAATAGTAAGTAGTCTGTTACATGTATTTTTGACTGAAAATAAAAACATTATAATAAATTGTACATATAGTTTCCTATACTCACATCCTGAGCAGGTACTGCGTAATTTCCTTGAATAGTGTAAGCTTGTCCACCAGCTAAGATAACAGGACCAGCAACATTTGGTTTCGGTCTGTATGGAATAGTAGCTCCTTTTGGTGGGCTCTGAAACAATATCAGTATTTCAGCTTGAAAAATTATCATATTTTTTATATCTTCGTAGCACTTGCATATTTTCACTACGGCTACTTGTGTGAGGGTGGCGTTCTCTGATGTCAATCGTTTCTAATTGGCTTATAAACCCATGTAAAACAATAGACATCTATTTTTAGTATTTGTATGTCGCATTCGCGCATGATCAACACACGAGTTTAAGCAATACATGTAAAAGGCTTTTCATTTTTATGCTAATACCTTTTACACAAGTAGCTCTGGAGGTCAGTTATGTACTGAGAGAAATTACTCTTTGCAGCTCATGAAATAACATTTTATTAGGCATTTTATTTTATTATTTTATTTTATGAAGGATTTGGCATGACACTACAACAATTAAAATTTATAATGTTGAAACAGTCTTAAATTATATACTGTCCAGTGAACAATTATTATGACAGATCAGTTTGTATTGTTGAATGACATTTTTACCTCTAGCATGACACAGCAAATGTGATAAATGCACTGCGTGATCGCGTCGCAAGTCCCGCTTATTGTCACAGCTCTTTCAGTTGAGTTTGGAAGCATTTCACTTGCAACCTGAAAATAAAATTGAATACAATGTGTTATTACGCAAATGTATGAGAAATACGATGGACTTTGAATTGGTACATCTCTCGGAACTTAATGCTAAAAGAGATTAATTAAAATACCAATCATCAATGGTCTGTAATAAACTATAGTGGTACTGTGCTCGCCTGTCCTCTCTGTGCATGGACCCACTAATATTTTATTTTTCAGTAATAGAATCGATGCTGTAGCCGTGAAGGAAATCTGTCGACGTACATAATCATTGTCATCTAGTCTAGATGAAAATAAAATTATGACGATACAATCAATCTATATGATAATAGGTATCTCGAGATTTAGAATGCATGTGATAACTCGTTCATTTAATGATGAAGGCTATTAAGGCGTAGTTGATACAAATACTATTATTATAAGATATAAAATACTAAAAGTTTCTTAATTATAACTATTATAATTAAGGCGCCCATTAACACGATAGGTTTTGCTTTCCCTTTTTCTAGTTACGGAATGATATTAGAAATGCTTTACGGTTAATGATACGCTCAATCTATTATAAAAACGAAGTTTCTATTGATAAGTAACGACATTCAATTTCTTTATCTAACACGATGGACATTGAAATTTAAATCAATTGAAGTTGAATTGAAAGTTTAATTTCAAACACCAACAAATCTGGTTGACGTTTAGAAATCACTATTCACTCCGTTACACGCTAGTTGTCCGCTAACCAAAGCCATGATTATGGCCAAACCGACCGCAAAAGTAGCGTATAATGGAAGCGAAAAAAAAAAAAACAAAATTAAAAAATGGTTTACAGTTAAAATTTATGAATTTTAAAATTGTTATAATTTTAATATGTGTATATTGCTGTATATATAGCAGTTATTCTTTAGATCATTAAATAAAAAAATGGTGATGGAACGGGATAAATAGTAGCCAACGTTCTTCATTACAAATACTATATTTACACAAAATTTCAAAATGATTAATTGAGCTATTAACACGACAAGAGGAATACGAACACTCTTTCACATAATGTTAGTAAAAATAGTTTATGATACAAACTTGTATATTAGCTCCAGTGACGTCTCGTATTTCTTTGATTTTGGAGCCACCTTTGCCGATGAGCGAGCCACACTGCGAGGCTGGAACGATGAGTCGCAGTGTGATGGGGGCGCGAGACCCGCCACCGCCGCCTTCATTGAATTGAGAGCACCACTGCCAAAGTAATTAGCAATTTTTATACTGATGAAATTTTTCATACTACTATGAATAAAAATAAGATAAGTCATAGGCCACTTGATGGATAATGTAACAGTAGGTTTTTGACGTGAAGAATACTAATGGTTATCACAGCTGTTCTTTAAAAAAATAGGTATCAAATCACAAAACTTCATCACCAACAGTGATATAGAAGCTGTAATGTTTGTAAATACATAAATAAATTGGTCTGCCACCTTCAGTTCAGATAACAGGAACTAATTTTAAGTTTTTTATCCATTACATTACATGCATACAATATAAGTTATTTGTTACAAGTGATAAATAAAAAAAATATATAATAATTATTTGTATTGATATGTTTTGAACAAAAATTGAATCACTTTAGGTTCGACATTAAACTATAAATTAAAATAATTACGATATATTGCTTACCTCTTCAAATTTTTTACATATGAGTGTAAATGCCTTGAATATAGCACTTGTATTGCCTGTGACAGTAACAATGCGTTCTGGACATGATCCATCGGATATGTTGATTTTGGCTCCTGACTGAAATCAAAATTTAATACATGTGTACATATTTTTTTTCAAAAGATACCATACTCCATAAAAAAAAATCGGTGACAAGTTTTACGTTTTGCTTTACAAGACTTTAAAATCATTAATATGTTCATTTCCATATAAAGTTTACATTATAAACATTCCAACTTAAATGTTATAATAATATATTGCGTTCTACAAATAAGAAAACCGACATCGATCGTGGTAAACCCAGTTATTTTGATTTAAAAAGTACCGACTTTTTATAAAATTCCTAAGAAACTATAAGGATACCCTTTCAGATAAAAAAAAAAAAAATACAAATCGGTTTACAACTGACAGAGTTATAAGGTAACAAATATTAATAAAAAAATATACAAACGAATTAAGACCCTCCTTTTTAAAGTTGGTTGAAAATTGAGGCATATTGATTTTTTTTTTATTTAAGAGCTTCTTGTCGAGATAATTTATTCATGTATTCTCCTCCATCAACTCTATTACAGGCCATGTCTTTGACCTCCCTATAGTACATGACATCTAGCCTTTCCATAAGATTTATTTATATAACATTAAAATTTATTCACGACTCCAAAACATTTGTATTGTTATTGAAAATCGTTACTGATCATAATAATGTTACTTATGTAAAATAATGTACATTTGTTATGGTTTTAATAATATAGAAACAACATGCTGGGTGTTTGATTTATATAGAATTCAGTTCCTATAAACTTAGTGTTACATTTCATATTATAAAAAATATATCAATTTTTTCTAAAAATTCTAAATAATATCTATAATAATATCTTACCTCTTCTCTAAATCTTTTAACAATCTCTCCTTTTTTTCCAATAATACTGCCAACTTCCTGTAAATCATAGAAAAAACAATCTTTAACAAACTAATCGGACCTACATAACAGTTAAACTAAATTGCCCTACGAAAATAAACCCTTGTGACTGGGACTACATTGGCAAGTATTGTGCAATGAATACAACTGTAATTAATGCACCGCTCCAAGATTTATAGCACAAAAGAGTTCCTGTCTGGTAGCCAATAATAGTTACAGCATCAAACTTTTCTTTGCAGTCGACATGCATTGGGCTCGCGTCAAGACGGTTTTAGAGTGGCTATAGCATAGGTGTTCCTGGCAACGTAGCATGTTGACTCCTATAGTATGAGAGCAATGCAGTTGCATTGTAGTGTTACGGTATGCTTAAACACGACTAAAATAGAGCCGATAGATGACGAAAGTTAAGAAGGCTGGGTTCAAAGAACTATAGTTTGTAATTTCTAATGGTTGTTAATTGTGTGTAATTTTGAGTATAATACAAATTTTATATACAAGATAAAAATTGCTAAGTATATATAAGACAATACTGCACAATTAAATTCAATTATAGATAGAGTGATAATTTGTAATAAAATAAAGTTGATTAATTACGTAATTTCATTTTAGATATACAATACATTATCAGACATACCAGACAAGAAACACCATGCATATACAATGAACACTGTTTTACTAAATTAGTATTTTTACTGGACTTCGATTTGACTAACCAATTATCTTCACTTTCACCCTATTGATGACTAATTGCACAATGAGTAAAATAGGTTTATGTACAAAATATTGTTTAGGTACCTACTTTGAAATAAATAAACAACATTGTATTGACAATTGAAATGACTGTATTATCTAAATATACTTTTATTATCATGTAATATACATTTATACAGATAGGTACTATAATGTACCTAATAAAGCAATTATTAACATCAGTAAAACTATAATTATCTCCAAAGAAATATAACTATAAATTATGTCCGCATACTGCACAAGAAAACATATGTATCCCATATTATTTCAATTAGAAAATGAAATAAATCGACAGTTTGATGAACACAGCGAGTGCCGATAACTGGCGCGATGCCAGATGTACTTTGTATTGGATTATGGCCAATTAAAAGTACTTATAGGTAAGACTGTAGACATACTATGATAATATCAATATGTCTTGCATGACAGACCAATCTCGACACATCTAGGTGTGCTAAATTAGTTTACTATTGGGCAATGCAATTTAAAATAAAATTGATGCTGACATAAAGTAATAGTAGCAAGAATTTCACCATGCATATCTGTATTCATATTATAAAAAATATTCATGTATTTATTATAATTTATATAATACACAGTACTCTAATTTTATTGAGCTCAATAACTGATAGCATTTGTTCAAACATGGAAATGATAGACTGACTCAACAATGTTCAAATAATGATGTGAATTGCTATTGTGGTTTTACATATAGCTGCTAAAATAATGAGACTGTTGTTTTTATTTTGAAAGCAATAATGTAAGTGTAGTTAAAGCAAACCTATATGGGTAACAAACAGGATCTTCTGCTAAGAATCCATAGAAATGCTTGCTTCTTAACAAGATTTAAATTCCAAAGTCATATTAGATTACCATACTTTTAAACAGACTCAACTCTTTCATAAATAGCAGTTACTATTTTTGAACAAACCTATAACTTTACTAAAATAGAGGGGGAAATCCGTGTATTATTTTTGTTTCATTTACATGTTTATTGGTTTTTAATTAATTAAATGAGAAACATTTATAGTTTCACTGATTATTTGTGTTTTTGTATAAAACAGGGATATTAATGACTACTGCTGACAAACAGTACAGAAAAATACCACTACTGTGTAAAAAAAAGCAAACAAGATCAAGCCACTTTGGCTATGATAAATGCAGATAGCAAAGTATAAAATAAAAAAGGTTCTTTCACAGTGCTATATAGGTACACAGGAAAATTTGATATTATAATAATATAAGTACTTATAATTACTATATGATACTGGAAAAATGAGTGTCATGTAATTAATAATAATAACAGATAAAAAGATAAGTATGAGTAGGATTTGTACCTTTAGCATTCTGTTTATATTGAATTTTAAAATGTAAGTGAATGCAACAAAAGGATTTCAAACTGCAACATGCAATTAATTAAATTTGTAAAAAAAATAATAGATAACAATGTCTTTGCCACATTCTTTTAAGTCACTTTATACCTACACCCAAATCATTAATGAAATAAGTTTTATATAGTATTAGTTCTATTAGGTGTATAATGTTTTTAAAACATTATTATCATTTCAGCTGTTTGTCCAATGTTTATTTTTTACAATAATATTTACTATAAATTATTGTGTTGTTGATCATGACAACATATTGAAGTATCAATGTTGGAAATGAATCTCCCCCCATAAGGAGAAGATTAGTCACTATAGGTCTGTTTCAAAAGAACATAATGAAAATATAAATAAACAAATCTACTACTGATAATAGCAGTACAAATAAAAAAAAATGTTTTCTTTTTATTATAGATGCAAGCACACCATTTTGAACAAACACAGACATCATCCACGAATATGACTAAACAAAAAGAGAAACCACTTTCAGTGTTTGGTTGCATTATTTGGGATAACTAAGTGCTTTTTTACTCTACATTTAAAGGATGCAAAGTTACAGGATGATGGAAACAGGCCACAGGAAGTCATGTAAAAGTTGGCAAACTTATTTGTATGTGAGCACAGGTGATCTACCATATATGAATAGTCTTCATGGTGTGAAATCGGAAAGTGGAAGGTGAGGGAATCAAGTTCTTCTGAGCACTTTCCCATGGAGTAAGCAGTAGCAGACAAAGATTAGTTACCAATTTAATTTCATCAGTGTTTTTGTAATTATTTAGTTACATTTTTATTAGTCATTTGAAACAGGCTATAATATGATGTTAGCCAAGTGGATTGATAAATAGATAAAGAATTTTATTTCAACTAACAACAAATTAACTTGTTTTAGTATATATGTTTTATAATATTAATGAATGAATATAATTTTGTTTGCATTATAGAATGTAGTAAACAATAAGATATACCCTTGTATAAGTAAAATAAGGTAATGTTATTGCTGAAAGCACTCTTTTCAAGATAACCTTAGGATAATAGAAATGTTTTTACTTTTGAACTAATTTTAATACATTATTTAATGAATAATATAAATACATAGCAGTCTTTTTAGAAGCAATGTACAGTATGATTACATACACATTCGAGCATTTTAACACTTCCCTAAATTCGACTAGGTGAGAATAAATTGCATTAAGTCTGCCTCGTACACATATCTTGTACTAAAGAATAAATAAATAAAGAACTATTTTATATTAATTCACAGAATTAATTCCTGTCTTAATTAATATTAATTTGAACAAAATGACTTTTATTGTAGAATAAAAACAATTATGAGTTTTCCTTTTGCAATCAACTATTAGACATCCTGTAGATTGAAGGCCTAGAATTTAATAGCAGACAGAAATCTGTACTGAACAATATTTTTCTTGTAAAGTATGATATAAAAAGAGATCATGCATCTAATTTTAATGAATGAAATATTCAAAGCTTTAAATAAAAATAAATAGACAATGACTGATTCACTACACACAATGAGTGGAATTTAGAAGAAGGTAATGTGTACACTTTCACAGGTTAATGTCATAAATAAATTTAAACAAATGCCAATTTCCACATTGAATACAAAGTGTTTTTCTCTTACCTTCCCCTGCATAATCAGTCTGATAGTGAGGGTAACTTTGGAGTCTTCCTCGTGGAGGTTGGGGGTTTTCTCCAGATCCATGCTGGAGGAGGTGTCCGTTGTGTCTCGCGGAATTTTGGCTGCGTACGGGGCTACGTGTGGTTGGACACAGGGGACACTCCACTCAATCTAATGGCTGGGACTCTGGGGCTCGTGGCACGCACTGCAGGCAGGGTAAGCTGGAAAACAGGCGAACATCTCAGAAGGATTGTCAAGAGGTGTTGAGCTCACTAAAGGTTTGGGACATGATCACTCCTTTTAAAGCGAAGCTGATTACCGAATATTTATTTACATTAGCGTTCGGTGGTAAGCGTAACGGAATGAGGGCGGTAAATGAGGATCTAAACGCTATTATAAACTAACTGGTCTTAGGAGCGACCGGATTGTGCAGATGTAATGCGAGACGGCTTGCTCCGGCTGTCGACACCGTTACTTGAACTCCGATAATCCAATACCTGTTCGCTACTCGCGACATAACCTCAGCGTGGCGCCTCATGGCTAGCCGACCGGGTTATCGATCCCGCAAATCCCAAACAACTTCTTTCTACACAGAACCATCGCAGTTTTCTTACCTCGTTTAGTTTCCACTGTGCAACAATAACATAACAATCTTATAACTATTATTATCACGAAGATCTATATAAAAATCACACTTATCACAATTTTCTTTGTCGCTTTATAATTATAAAATTAAATAAAATCCGACGGTGACGCGTCGGTATGAAGCTTGCAAATGTCAAAATGCACAGACACAGCAGACATAAGCACCGACCGTGGCACCTCTGGTGGTAGTGTGCAGAACTATAAAATAATCTGACATTTGACAAGAGAAAGCATAGACAGTGACATGTGTATTATCGGTAAAGCAGAATTAGATATAACTTAGTACACAAAACTTACTACCAACTTAGGAAGACTTAGATACATTGCCTGCAGGCGGGAATAATAAATATTTGCAACTAAGAAAGTAACAAAATTATTTTCTTTGTAAACTTGTTAATATGAAAGGGGGCTTTATGAACGCAATAAAACTCAAAGCAATGATTTTTAGAATTTTTGTCTGTTTGTCTGTACGTTTGTGCGCGCTAATCTTAGAAACCGATTTGAATACGGTTTCACTAATGCCTTTCGGTTTGATCCACTTAACATTTAGTGTTTGTTTTACTTCAATCGGTTCATAAATAAAAAAGTTATATCAAACTATAGAGTCACATATGAAATGCTATAAAATAACCGATCAGTTGAATTGGCTGAATTTATAATTATTATTTAAATATATAATATAATATCAGACCGGATTCATGAAGAGTTCCAAAGGGAATGATATATGGGATCTACATAGTTAGAAGCGGGCCACGCCGCGGGAAACGGCTAGTATATATATATTAAATTAATACTATTTAAATGATATTCATCATCATCACCATCTCAGCCGTTATCTGACCACTGCTGAACATAGGTCTTACCCATAAACTGCTATAAGGAACGGTCCTGAGCCACCTGCATCTACTGTTTCCCTGTAATGCGTTTGAGGTTGTCTCTCTATCTAGCGAGGGATTGTCTTAGATTGTATTTGCCCGTACGGGGTCGCCACTGAAGAACCTTTCTTCCCCATTGGTTGTCGATTCGTTTTTATTTTTCAAAAATAAAAACGATACAAAATTCTTACTAATATTGTATATTGTAATAATGTTTTTCTTTACTAGTTACTTAGATCTACATCTACGTATTAATTTATAAGTATTCGTTTTAAAATTATTCAAAATGTACGCTGAATATTTTAATTAAGGTATGTATATTAAATTGTAACAAATAAAAACATACGTATATTTATATAATACTAGAAGAAATAGTTCTTAAAACGAATTAAAAAAATCAATTTGGTTTAAGAAACTTTTACTTGCAATTCCGAAAATGGTGCGTTTTGTTTCGATTATAAAAAAATCTGTATTAAATAGAAACAGGTAAATGTCAATTTAGCTATCTCAATATTGACACGTTTTTTATATTCGATCTAATGGATATTATCTATATAATCTAAGCAAAGAAATCTAAGTATCGTACATATTGAGTTCTAGAATTACACTACGTGTCAAAGAATTGCAAACGATTACGATACTATAACAAGATTATAATTATTGTTTTTTTCTTGATCACACCCATCCTAAGATGAATTATTCCATTTGTTTTCGAACCATCCCAATTTATGATTTTAGTGTTTTGATCCTTTTTTCCTGCAGAAGATGAAAATAATAAAAACATTAAAAAGATACCTAAAATTTTATCCATTCCATCATTAATCTTCGTATACCGTTAAAGTACCTACCTTTAATTAATTATTTTGCAACAAAAGTATTCAGAAAAACCATAACATTGTACGTAAATTTATTACTGTAGATAGCAAATTGTACTTAATAATAAATAAGTTGGCTTGTAGATAATAAGATTTTATAAGTAGTGTATCAATTTTCCATTGTTTCCTTTGTCAACGAATAGAAAAAAAAAATTGCTTTTACTTGCTTAAGCTGTATATATAGGTATATTACAAAGACAGTATAACGTAGTTACTACTTATACTTATTTATATACAATAATTTATACATAAGCAGTACTATGGACGTAACAGAGTATACTGTTTCGGCCACGATACGACCCATGCGTTGCTATTCCTGAAGACTCAGGTGTTATTCCTCTGTACCCTGTAAATTCACTGCCATATCTCACCCTTTAAACCGAAATACCGCCATAGAAACACAATTGAAAAAGCAAAGGACTTTTGTACAAAGTCTCCCTCTGGTATATATATATATATATATATATATATATATATATATATATATATATATATATATATATATATATATATATATATATATATATATATATAAGTGAACTTAATGCCTGTTATCCTTTACTAGTCAACCGTTTTACTGTGTTTTTGTAGAGTAGAGAGTCAATCTGTAGAAGTATCGAGACAATTTTAGTAACAAAAATTCTTACCGTAATAGAAAGCTATCTCTACACTATCTCTGATTAATAGTTATATATACAATCTTCTTTGAAACAGCTGATAAGTATCTAATGCGCGGGTGAAAAATCGATAAAAAGTTATATGCATTACATTTACTTAAGAAACTTGAATCATTTTTAAAAATGAACTACGGAGATATAATAATATACATATTTCGTGGATTGTATCTATCGTACGCAGTAATCATTTTTTGTAAACTTTATTTATCTAGTAAAAAAATAAAAAAAAAAAAATCTGAAATAATTCATTTTAACGCGTGAAAAGGACGTAAAAGTCAAATTGTGAACAAGTCGATTGGGCCCCATTTTTTACACCAAAGCGAGCAGTCCCTACACGGCTATATTAAACTTTAGAAGTGCTTTGTCCCATGCAAATTCGTTCATCGATTTTATTGCTTTCCGGCGAACTCCTACTAAGAGAATACGCCTTTATGCACTGAAGTTTTACTTACTTTTTATGACGTGAATAAAACCAATGAATTAAGTGTCGAAACGACTGAATAATTTATTTTATTAACTTTTAATTATTTGAAATATAGCAGGTTACGGCCAAACTTTTGTAACAAAAAGTTTTATCACCTGTAACATGTTTCATTTAAAACATTATAGCTACTAGCTCGCTTTGTATATTAGGGTTACGGAATCAGTAAATAAATACTTAAGAGACTAGTCACTTTGAGTCAGTTTTTCACAGATTTCGTTTGTAACTACGGTCAATTTATACTTTTTTGTATTATAAGATATAGTCTAGAATTGACTTGTATTAATTAAAACTTATAATGGTCTGCGTACATTTATTGTAAAAAATATTTTTTAGAAAAGTGTCATATTGTTTTATAGACGAATTTAAGGCCTAATTATTTTGCGTTTTGTGTCTTATTATTGAAATAACATTATAATCAGGGAGTCAATTGATCTGAATTGTAAACTTTCAAAAATATCAGAATTATTTACATGTTTAATAATTTTATCAATCAAGTTATCTTGATTTAAAAACATTTACATCTATTTAGTATGTTTTATTATTATACCTATTAAGCATAGTATATGTTTATAAATATATTAAATATTAGTGCGTTTGATTACAATTTTAGCTGATCTTAAGTGAAGATAAGATTTAAGCTGTTACACGCAAATTAAAATAATGCTTATTCACTCTAGCCTTCAAATTAAAATAATCTTTTTTATATAATGGTTGATAATGAAACGGTAAGCCTGTCTGCGCTATCGGTATACGTTGGCGGGGCACCAGCGAGGAAAGATATGCGAGGATGAAAGCAGGTCAGTAAGTTCATTGTAACGAATTCCACATGAATTAATTAAAATGGTTTCCAAGGGAAACCATGTGGAGGTCTACCTAAAAGACTATATTGCTAGCAATGGAGCTGTTAGATTTCTATTATGAAAATAATCTGGAAACATAGACGCTGGAAGAGAATTCCATTTCTTGGTTTTGATGAAACGAAGTGTATATAGTACGAATAGGTAGAATGTCAATCATATAAGTGAATAATTTGCAGATAATTAAATTAATAATATAAATTTGAACAAAATATAATTAATTAAAATAATAACAATCTGATAATTAAATTTTTGGTCAAACTTATAAGTAGGTATATACATGACAAAATAAATCAAATATTTTTTTTTATACGACTTAGAATGGCAAACAAGCTGACGGCCCACCTGATGGAAAGGCAACGGTTACCGCCTATAGACATGAGCAGTACCATGTATCTATAGACATCAACAGAGTATACTGTTTCGCCCATGATACCCCCCATGCGTTGCCATTCCTGAGGACTCAGGTGTTATTCCTCTGTACCCTGTAAATTCACGCTATATCCCATCCTTCAAACCGAAACACAGCCATGCAAACACAACTTCTTCACGGTAGAAACACGAATGGGACAGAGATACCCAAGCAATCGACTTATGTACAAAGTCTCCTTTTGTACATAATCCTAATATATTCCATATTTCTTCTAACGACTAACTCGCGACTATATATCTAAACAAAATTTATCACTTAATTCATTTTTTGGACAGAGACATTTAGAAAATTACTCCATTGTCCAACTTTAGGTTTTTTTTAGAATTTTAGATTACCCGAAAGTACGAGTAGAACAAACATTTTTCTAAATTTAACTTCTAGACCAATTTGACTAAAGACCAATCTAATATTTATGCCAAAAATTAATTCTGAAAAATGAATGACATTATACATAATTTTAATAATACAGTAACCCGCTATACGAATTCGTCTGTAAATAAAATAATATTAATGGTATATCTACTCGTATTGCAGTCTTTGCAAAAATACTAAAGGAAGGAAATAATGTCCGAAACAGTGAAAAGATATTTAAAAGCTTTTAATTGGAAGTCGCCTGGAGCTGTAAAAATGGTGCTTCACCTCTCTGACGCCTTTTCAGTACGGTATATTTTATTTTCAATGTAATTTTCTTTATTTACTTATATACTATATATTTATACCTGTTAGATATAAAGTCACCAGGAATTTGTCTGGCTTTAGTCGAGTATAAGCTGTATAAAACAAAAACTTTTCCACTTTGATTTATTACGTGTAACATTAAACTTTGTACATTATAATTTAAGGTTATTTTATGAAAACATCAATTATGATCATGATGAAATTTTATATAAGTAAGTACATATTAGTTAATTAATAAGCTCTCTCCATCTCGCTTGCATGACCCAAGCGAGGACTATGCTCGTAGTT